TCGATACTACAGTTTTCTCTTTTGCAGATGGAGAAGAGGGGGGCGGGGCGAGGGGGAGGGGTGAGGGGGAGAAAGAGAGTAGAGAGGAAGGTCGAAGGAGGGGAATGGGGAGAGAGGGGTTTCGGGTGGGTGGGTAGGGAGGATAAGGGAGGGGGATAGGGGGGAAGAGGAGAAGAGGGAAGAAGAGAGAAGAGAGAGAAAGAGAGAGAGAGAGAGAGAGAGAGAGAGAGAGAGAGGAGGGAGGGGGGAGGGAGGGAGGGAGGAGGAGGAGGAGAGAGAAAGAGAGGAGAAAGAGAGAGAGAGAGGGGAGCATAAAGGGGATATATATTTAGTAAAAGGGGAAATAGAGAAAGCGAGAAGAAAAATAAAGATGGCGAAAAGAAAAAAAAAACAAACTCAAACGTGACAGCTGATTCCGCCACGACGCCACAGCACCGGACGAGAAGTTACGCAACACGACTCTCATCTCGCCATAGATTTTCTTAGTCTCCGCCTCTTTCTCCCTCCCCCCACCCCCCCTTCTCTCTCTCTCTCGCTCTCTCTCTCTCTCTCTCTCTCTCTCTCTCTTCTCTCTCTCTCTCTCTCTCTCTCTCTCTCTCTCTCTCTCTCTCTCTCTCTCTCTCTCTCTCTCTCTTCTCTCTCTCGGCCCCCTCCTACTCTTCCTCCTACTCCTACTCCTACTCCTACTCCTCTTTTTCTTTCCTGCTGTTATTATTATTTCTCCTCTCTTCTCTTTCTCTTTCTCTTCTCTTCTCTTTCTTTCTCTTCTCTTCTCTTCCTATTCCTATTTTTCTTTTCTTCCTCCTCATCCTTCTCCTCCCCCCCTCCTCTTTTCTTCTTCCTTCTCTCCCAGTTCCTTTTCTTACTCCTACTACAACAACTAATATTACTGCTACTACTACTACTACTACTACTACTACTACTACTACTACTATTACTACTACTATACCACCACTTCCCTCTTCTTCATCTTGCTTTCTTCGTTTTCATTCATTTTGTTTTTCCCTTCATATCTCAGAGGGGGGAATCTGGAGCGCCGATAACCCCCCGTCAAGGTAACGCCAAACATGTCGACACAAACTGATAAAACAGAGATAAAAGATAAGGATAACTAGTTAATGCAAGTAATGGTGGAGCCTCCCCCACCCCCGGAGAGAGAGAGAGAGAGGGGGGGGGAGGGAGGAGGAGAAAGAGGGAGAAGGAAAGAGAGAAGAGAGAGAGAGGAGAGAGAGAGAGAGAGAGAGAGAGAGAGGGAAGAGAGAGAAAGAGAGAGAGAACACATGAGTGCGAGGAGAAGATAGCAAAGAGAAAGAGAGAGAGAGAACACATGAGTGACAAGGAGAGTGAGAGTGAGTGAGAGGATAGGATTAGAAGAGAGAGGAGAGAGAGAGAGAGTAGGGGAGGAGGAGAAGTAGACCTGGCAGCGATGGAGAGGCGGGAGAGAGGAGGGAGAGGAGAGGAGGGAGGGGGGAGAGTGCCACGAGTGTATATAAGGGCAGGGCCAACGCCGGGTGCCAGCAAGAGTAGACGAGAGACGCGTTCACAGAGAGAGAGAGACCTTTGGTGCGAGTTCGGGCTTCGGCCCCCTGTAGCGTTTAAGTTGAAGAACATCCGCCATCGCCTCGGGAGAGAAGAGAGAGAGAGAGAGAAGAGGGAGAGAGAGGGAGAGAACAGCCGGATAACTATTGAAGAACGAACGAGAGAGAGCTAGAAGGTGGGAGATCGAAGGAGAGAGAGAGACTAGAGGGAGTCGAACGAGAGAGAGCTAGAAGAGATCGAAGGAGAGAGAGTAGAAGAAGAAGGGAAAACGAAAGAGATTTAGAAGAATCCCGAAGGAAGGAAGAGAAGGATCGGGGGGAAAAGGAGAGAGAGAGAGAGAAAAAAAAAAAATAGGAAGATAGAAGTGTAAGGCGAGAAGAGTTAGAGAAGAAGAAGAAGAAGAAAAGGCGAGAAGCCCCCCAAGACAGACAAGATGGAGGTCCTGGCCAAATCCCTGGCTGCTGCCCCACGACTCCTCATGCTGTGTAAGCCCTGTGTCGCACGCCCGCACACGCCCGCTCCCACGCCCATCCACGAGCGCCACATGGCCCATGACTCCATCTCCACCTCCTCCTCCACCACTTCCTCCACCACCTCCCTCCAACCCCAACAAATCGAGAGTCCCTTTGCTGCTAACAAAACTAACGACTTACTCAAAGGTAGAAGGACAACTAACAAACTAACGGCTTGCTTTTGTTACGTAAATAGTGTTAATCATGTTCATAATAAATTAATTTAGTTTTCATTTTGTTATTTTATTCGGTTTGATCGTGTTTACGGGTTTAGGCTATATTTGAGTGGATTTATTATTATTTATTGTTTATTATTGTTATTGTTATCACTATGTTTATTTATTTTTTTATTATTATTACCATTACTGTTGTTATAATCATTATTATGATTATAATGATTCGGATAATGATAGTTATTATTATCATTATGATAATATTATTATTGACATTATTATTATTATTATTATTATTAACCAGAATATTTAGCCTGTTCTTCCGCCTATTTTGGTTTCTAATTTGATGAGTTTCTTTCGGAAATATTTAGGCCTATTTTGAATATGTAAGATAATAATATTTTGTTGATGATTGATAGGAGTCGTTAATTAAGATTTTGCTATTTTTAGAAGTTATATAAGCTGATTAATTTGAAGATTTTGCTATTTTTAGAAGTTTATAAGTTGATTGATTTGAAGATTTTGCTAATTTTAGATGTTTTATAAGTTGATTAATTCGAAGATTTTGCTATTTTTAGATGTTATATAAGTTGATTAATTCGAAGATTTTGCTAATTTTAGAAGTTTTATAAGTTGATCGATTCGTAGAATTGAAATGATTTAGAATTTGTGACAATAGCGAAAAAAACTGAATCACGTGATTGAGGGGTAAAAGGGAACCTTAATTGTTCTGTTTTTGCTTGATTGATTGTGCCTTGTTTTGATGGCATTGCTGTTGTTTCGTTGTCGTGGTTGTGTTTGTTGTCGTTGTCATTTTTCGGGTGTTGTTGTTGTTGTTTTCGTTTTCTATCCTCCTGTTGTTATTTCCTCTTCCTTTCTCTTTCTCTTTTCCTTTTCTTTCTCTCTTCTCTTCTTCCACCTCCTGTTGTTATTTTCTTCCTTTTCTTTCTCTCTTCTCTTCTTCCACCTCCTGTTTTCTCTCTTTCTTCTCTTCCTGTTCCTTTTCTACCTTCTCCTCTACCTACTTCAACAGCTACTACTACTACTACATTATTCGGGTGTTGTTGTTGTTTTGTTTGTGGTGCCTTTGTTGTTGTTTTTGTTGTTGCTTTTGTTGTTGTTGATACAACTCGCCGTCCCATCTTGCTTATTCATGTGACAATCATAAGTTTATTGCTTATTGCTTTTAACGCCGATCTTTGGGTGTGTTATCCAAGTCATGTTTTTGTTTTCTTGTTTTCTTGTTTTCTTGTTTTTCTCTTTTTCGTGTTTAGGTCCTTCGATTTTGACCCCCCCCCCTGCCATCTATTTTTCGTACAAATAGACATATATTTCATATATTGAAATTCCCAACCATTTCTTTCATTATTCAATTTCTATTACCATCGTAATTAGCTCCTTCCACCTGTATTTTTTTTTTTTTGGGGGGGAGGGGAGCTTTGTTTTTTTAATTAACCCCCCCCCACACACACCACCACACACTTTTTTCGTTTGTTGGATATATTCTCTCATCTTTTCTATTGTTTTTCCTTCTGATTTAAGTCTACCCACTCGTCATCCCACCCTTATTTGCCCCTTATCTCCCTCTCCCCTTATTCTCTCTCTTCTCTCTCTCTTTCTTTCTCTCCTCTCTTCTTTCTTTCTTTCTTTCTTCTTTCTTTCTTCCTTTCTCTCTCTCTCTCTCTCTCTCTCTCTCCTCTCTCTCTCTCTCTCTCTCTTCTCTCTCTCTCTCTCTCTCTCTCTCTCTCTCCTCTCTCTCTCTTCTCCTTCTCTCCTCTCTCCTTCTCCTTCTCTCCTTCTCCCCTCTTCCCCTCTCCCCTCTCCCCTCTCCCCTCTTCCCTCTCCCTTCTCCCTTCTCCCTCTTTCCCTCTCTCCTTCATCCCTTTTTCCCTTTTTCCTCCTCTTACCTTTGCTAGATCCCCCCCTACCCAGATATAGAGCCCACCTTGTTTTGCTGATTTTTTTTTCTTTCTTTTCTTTATTTCAATACTATTTTACGCAGCGAAGAAGTGAGATACATGAAGGAGAAGGAGCAAGAGAGGAGAGATAAAGATGGGGGTAAAGTGGAGGAAAAAGGGGCGGGATAAAGATGAAAGCGAATGAGGAGAAGGTGAAGGAGGATAAAAGACGGAAGATGAGAAAGAGAAGAAGGAAGAGGGATGGGGATAGGGGATGTGGAAGGACAGGGAAGTCATGGGTATTAAGTGGAAAGAATCGGTGATATGCCTATTATTATTATTATTATTTTTATTATTATTATTATATATTATTATTATTATTATATATATATATATATATATATATATATATATATAATATATATATATATATATATATATATATAATATCATAATCTATTCCATGTTTCATCAGATTTTCCAGTTACCATTTCCCTTCTTGCGTTTCCAAAGAAGGAAACCAATAGAAAATAAGAAAAATATTCGCAAAAACAAACGTACAAACAACCTCCTAACCCCCCCTTCCCCCCTCTCTCCCCCCGCAGCGTGCAGCACGTGCGCCCAGCAGATCGCGCACGCCTCCAGCTCCCGCCACGTGTGTTCGCCCGCCCACGAGGTCGCACCGGCGCTCCCCAACGGCGGCAGCGGCGGGAACGGCATGGGCGGCGGGAACGGGCGCCGTCTCAACCGCCGCACCGAGCTGGACTTCGAGGAGCTGGTGGCGCTGCAGATGGCCGGCGACATCGCGCTCATCGACGTCAGGAACCCGCAGGAACTCGAGAAGCACGACGCCATCCCGGGGGCCGTCAACATACCCCGTGAGTAGAGGTTGCCGTTGCTGTTTTTTTTATTATTATTAGTTATTGTTTATTGGTTTGGTATTGGGGAATAGGTTGTTTTAATAGGTTAGTGTTTTTAATTTTCATTATTTTTTTGAGGGTCTGACTTTTTGCGTTTTTATATAGATTACGTTTTTGAAGAGGGTGGGTAGGTCTGTTTTGGGTGTATATATGTAGGGACTCCCACGTAAGGTCACTCGAAAGATTTTTTTTCCTCCTGCTCCTCCTTCTTTTTATTTTTCTATTCCTCTTTCTTCTTCTCCTCTTCCTTCCTCCTCCTCCTCCTCCTATTCCTCCTCCTCCCTCCTCCTCCTCTATTCCTCCTCCTCCTTCCTCCTCCTCTTCTTCTTCTTCTCCTCCTCTTCTTCTCCTCCTTCTTTCTTCTCCTTCTTCTCCTTCTTCTCCTTCTTCTCCTCTCCTCCTCCTCCTCCTCATCATCATCATCATCATCATCATCATCATCATCATTTTTTTCTCCTTCTTCTTCTCCTTCTTTTCCTTTTTCTTCTTCTACATCTTCTTCCCACGAATTCACGTTGTTGACATGTTTTTGCAGTCACGCCGATCGTAAGTTCTAAAAAAAAAAAAAAAGGTTAATGATAGCAGTGAACAAAACAATTTAAGGACGCACGGATTTAGAAGAACATGTTCGTGTTTTTCCTCGTGTTCCGACCAACGCGAGCGCACGCTTATCAGATATGGGTGATAAGAACAGGGGAGGAGGAGGAGGGGGGGGGAAGGGAGAGGATTGGCGAAGGAGGGGAGAAAGGAGGAAGGGAGAGAAATGGGAGAAGGAGAGGAGGGAGGAAGGGAGAGGATTGGGCGAAGGAGGGGAGAAGGGAGGAAGGGAGAGAATTGGGCGAAGGTGGGAGGAGGGGAGGGAGAGAAATAGGCGAAGGAGGGGAGGAGGGAGGAAGGGAGAGAATTGGGCGAAGGAGGGGAGGAAGGGAGGAAGGGAGAGGATTGGGAGAAGGGAAGGATTGGGGGAAGGAGGGAGAAGGGAGGAAGGGAGAGAAATGGGCGAAGGAGGGAGAAGGGAGTAAGGGAGAGAATTGGGCGAAGGAGGGGGAGAAGGGGGGAAGGGAAGAGGTCGGGGGGGGATGTGGTAAAGAAGGGGAGAGGGGATTTAGGGGTAGAGATGAGATGAAGGAGGCGGGGGGGGAGGGGAAGGGAAGAGAGTGGAGGAGGGGATAGGGGAAAGAGAGAGAGAGCGAAGGAGGGGGATAGGGAAAGGGAAGAGAGTAAAGGAGGGGGATAGGGGAAGGGAAGAGAGTGAAGGAGGGGGAAAGGGAAAGGGAAGAGAGTCAAGGAGGGAAATAGGAGAGGAGAGAGGAAGGAAATGATGATTTAAACCTCAATTATTTTCTTACAGAAGAGGGAGAGGAGTGGAGGGGAGAAGTGGTGTGAAGGAGTAAGAGAGGGGAAGGGAAGGGCCGAGAGAGGGTAGGGGAAGATGGGGGCGAGAGAGACAGTGATCCACATACAAGGTCAATTTTTAGGGATTTTTTATTGGGGAAGAGGAGAGGAGATAGCGAGGAAGGGAGAAAAGAGAGAGATGGAGAAGGGAAAAGTGGAGAAAGCGAAGAAAAAGGAAGTATAAGACTCCAACATACAACATCAAACTAACACAATCATTTTTCTAAGGGAAGGAGGTTGGAAGTATAAGCTAGGAGAGAAAACGCTTCAGGTAGGAGGCCAAGAAGGAGGGGAGAAGGAGAGAAGAGAAGAGGGGCAGGGGAGAGAGATTACACAACAATAAAAACTATTATCAGTGACATTTATACTTTTATCGAAACCGGATGTCCATACATCTATTTATAAGAGACACAGCACAACAGCATCTCAGGGCCAGCATCTCAGTCTCAGGACCAGCATCTCAGTCTCAGGACCAGCATCTCAGTCTCAGGGCCAGCATCTCAGTCTCAGGGCCAGCATCTCAGTCTCAGGACCAGCATCTCAGTCTCAGGGCCAGCATCTCAGTCAGGGCCAGCATCTCAGTCTCAGTCTCAGTCTCAGGCCAGCATCTCAGTCTCAGGACCAGCATCTCAGTCTCAGGGACCAGCCATCTCTCTCAGTCATCTCAGTCTCCTCTCAGTCTCAGGACCAGCATCTCAGTCTCAGGACTCTCAGTCTCAGGACCAGCATCTCAGTCTCAGGAGCATCTCAGATCTCAGTCTCATCAGTCTCAGGACCAGCATCTCAGTCTCAGGCATCTCAGTCTCATCTCAGGGGCCTTAGGAGACTGACGAGAGCGAAAACCTACCGACGTAAACACAGGTCAGAGGGACGGGGGAGGGGGGGGGGGCTACCAGCTGGCGCCCTGAGAATTCGGACCCGAAAACTGCGCTTGCGAAACGATGCCGAAATGGAATTGAATCGACGCTCTTTTTGTTTTTGTGTTTTGTTTTTGTTTTTGTTTTTGTTTGGAGTGTTATTTATATGGAATTAAATCGGCGCTCTTTTTTTTGTTTTTGTTTTTTTGTTTTTTTTTGGAGTGTTATAAAATGAAACGGCAGTACACAGATTTAGACTCGGGGGGGTGGGGGGTGGGGGGGCAAACACGTCAACAACAGGGAACGTAGATCACGTGAACTGAGGTTTGTAGAAAGGGGGAGGGGGTTCGAAGGAGCAAGGGAAGGGAGGAGGAAAGAAGGGAAGAGAAAGCAGAGAGAGCGAAAGGCCCGGATAGGAAGGGGAAAAAGAATGGGAAAATAGGGTGGAAGAAGTAACCAGTGGAAAGAGACATGGGTAAGCGTGACGAAAACAGGAAGGGGAAAGGGGCAGAGGATGAAAGGAGAAGGAAAGAGGTAATGAAAAAGGCAAGAGGAGAATGGGAAAGGGAAAAGAGGAGTAAAGGAGAGTTAAGGGAAGGTAGAGAAGAGGAAAAGACGGGAAAGAAGAGAAGGAGGAAAGAGAGGAAAATGAGAGGAGGGTTGAGGGAAAGAAGGGGAAAAAGAGAAATAATAGAAGGAGGAAAGACAGGAAAGGAGGGTGAGGGAAAGAAGGAAAAAAGAAATAATAGAAGGAGGAAGACAGGAAAGGAGGGTTGAGGGAAAGAAGGAAAAAAGAGAAAATAGAAGGAAAAGAGAGGAAAGGAGAGTCGAGGGGAAAGAAGGGGAAAAGGAAAAAATAGAAGGAGAAAAGAGAGGAAATGAGGGTTGAGGAAAGAAGGGGAAAAAAGAAATAATAGAAGGGAAAAGAGAGGGAAAATGAGGGTTGAGGGAAAGAAGGGGAAAAAGAGAAATAATAGGACGGGGAAAGGGGGAAGGGGGGCGGGGGATGCAGAGGGTTGCACAAGGTTCGGGTCCTGGGTGCGGTTGCACTGGGTGTCGTCAGGTGAATTTATGTCCTTGCTCCCATCTTCCCTTTCTTCTTCTTCTTTCTTTTGTCTTGTTTTCCTTCTTTATTTTCTTCTTTAACCATTAAGAAATCTTTATTTATGTATTGTTTATTATATTTATTTATTATTTTTTTATTTATTTTCTTCGTTTCTTTTTCGTCGTTTTTTGTTCGTTTTCCTTCCCTATTGTATTTCGTGGAAGGACAGTGAGAAGGATGGTGATAAGGGTGATGCGATATCGATCGCGATGGAAATAGGGAACGATGATGAGACGGAGGGAAGGAGACGGGAAGGAGGGAGGGAAGGAAGGAAGGAAGGAGTGACACCGAAAACCTCTCCTCCTTCTTCTTCTCTCCTCCTCTTCCTCCCTCCTCCTCTGTACCTCCTCTTGGTACCTCCTCCTCTTGTACCTCCTCCTCCTCTCCTCTTGTACCTCCTCCTCCTCCTCTTGTACCTCCTCCTCCTCTCCTCCTCTTGTACTCCTCCTCCTCCTCTGCCCTCTCCTCCTTCCTCTTCCTTCTCCTCCTCCCCCCTCCTCTCTCCTCCCTCCTCCTCCTTCCTCCTCCTCCTCCTCCTCCCTCCTCCTCCCCCTCCTTCCCCCCTTCCTCCTCCTCCTCCTCCTCCTCCTCCTTGGCGAAGGTGAACGCGAAGACGTAAATATAGTTCGAGAACTTTCTTGCCCCGAGATATCCGGGTGTGACTCGAGGGATGTTTTTGATATCAGTAATTTTAGCCTGTTTGGGATCTCTCGCTCTCTCTCTTGCTCTGTTTGTGTGTCTCTTCCTTGGTTTCTGTTACATATTGCTCTCATTCTTTTTTTCTTTTTATTGCTTTTTCTGTCTCTTCTCGCTTCTCTTCTCTCTTTTCTCTCTCTTCTCTCTCCTCTCTTCTCTTTCTCTTCTCTTCTCTCTTTCTCTTTCTCTTTCTCTTTCTCTCTCTCTCTCTCTCTCTCTCTCTCTCTCTCTCTCTCTCTCTCTCTCTCTCTCTCTCTCCCTCTCTCCCTCTCTCCCTCTCTCCCTCTCTCCCTCTCTCCCTCTCTCCCTCTCTCCCTCCTCCCTCTTCTATCTATTTATTTATCCATCTCGATTTATCTATCTATATATCTATCTCTCCACCTTCCTCCTTCCTTCTGATGCCACGATTAGAAAAAGAACATCACACGTTTAACTAAGTGCCAACTGAGGCACTCTCCCCTCCCCTCTCCCACCCTCCCCTCCCCATACCCCTCCCCTCACCCCCTCCCTCACCCTCCCCTCCCCTCCCGTCCGTGCCCGCGACTACAAACATATCAGCCGCCCCCATGGGCTTGTACTCCGTGACCTTCGAAGGGTAGAGGAAGGTGCGGAGGGCGGGGGAAGAGAGAAGGAGAGAGGGGGGAGAGGAGAAGAGAGTAAAGAGAGAGAGAGAGGGGAAGAGGGGGGGGGAGAGGCGGGGAAGAGGGGGGACTGGGAGGGCTTGGGAAGGGGAGGAGGGAAGGTAAGGGCCGTTAAGCGTTGCATGATCCAAGCAAGGTGCTAGTCTTGGCGCGTGGGTTTGGAGGGAAGGAGGAAGGGGAAAAAAGATAGAGAGGAGGAGAAGGAGAAGGAAGATGAAGATGATGAATTGGGAATGGTGGTGGATGTGATGAAGGTGATGCGTA